AAGGGAGGGAGAAAAAGGAAAGCTCACGACAGGGAGAGACTGAGAACCAGAGAAAGTAGGCCCTGTGGGTACAGCCCTATCTGGCTCACATGGGCGGTGAGGACAGAGCAGAGGATTTGCCTTTTGCTCATGAGGAGAGGAAGGGAGGGGGCTTCAGGGCTGCTCTGGGGCTGCAGAGTCAGAGCCCAAGCCCCTAGCAGGGTCCCCTAGCCCAAGAGGCAGAATGTGCAGCCAGGGCAGCCTCTGGACCTCGTCAGTCAAATCACACACAAAAACCCGGGGCCACCATGGGAACTGCAGATTCTATAGAGTGTGTGGGTAGGAAGGTTAGGGGTTGAAATTTTATTCTTTCTTCCTCCTTCCTTGAAAACTCTGATCACACACATACTCACTCATGCACTCACTCACCCATGTGCACACCTCTTCAAAACCTGACCTATTCCGTCTTTGTCAGAAAGAATCTATGTCTTCACTGAACTTAGAGAAGACCAAACCTGCCTCCTCTCTCTTTGCAAAATCAAATTGCATTTACTTTTCTTCCAAATCCAACAAAAATAAATTTAAAATATTATAAATAGTTACTGAGCTTCTAAGCATTGTTACAGTACTGAAAGTGAGAAAATTAATTGTTACCTGGCCCAGGTTCTTCACTTTAGCCTAAGCCCAAATTAAAGTGGATTTTTCTCTTCTAGTGATCTATTGATGTATAGCGAGCCATCTCAAACTCAGTAGCTTAAACCATAACACCAGTCCTTTTTTATCAGCTCTCATAGTTCTGGGGGCAGACTGAGCTCAGACAGGCCACCCGGGGTCCCTTTTGTAGTTGTGGTCAGGCTAGGCTGGAGTCACCTGAAGGCTTCTGTATTGACAGGGATGGTGGTGGATGGTGGTTGATGTTGTCTGTCAGTGAAATCTCAGCTGGGGCTATTGGCTGGAACACCTCTGTATGGTCTTTTCATGTGGCCTGAGCTTCCTAACAGCATGGCAGATGGGTTCCAAATGGGAGTGTCCCAATATGATCAGGAGGAAGCTGTACTGCCTTTCATAACCTGGCCTCAGAAGTCACATGATGTCACTTCTGCCATAGTTGCAGTTCCATCCAGATTCAAGGGGATGGACAATGAACCCCACCACTCTTTGGAAGGAGTGAGAAGCCCATTTGGATAGAAGATCTCATTGCAGTCATCTTGGCTAATACATTTTTTTAAATGTTTTTAGAGTATGGAGGTGGTATTCTTTTTAAAAATTATCACCCTCATTATCACACTGCATCAGTGTACCATGGGTTCGTCAGGCCAGCCCTACCCTTTGCAAACCTGTTCTGACTTCCAGCTGCACTAACTTCTCCCCCCTTCAGTCCAGGCCCCAGGGTGTTCAACCCAGAGCCCGGAGGCCTGTGCCCTCCTGCCTTTGGTCCCGCAGGGCAGGGCTCCAGTCACTGTTGTCCTCATTCCACTCTCCTACTTATCAGTACAGGGAAAATTGCTTGCAGTCTGCAGACTTGGGTGTGAATCTCAGGTCTGCATTTACCCTTTACCGTCCTTCTTCATCAAATGGAGATGAAATTCTCTTCCCCTCAGGACCACCAGGTAGGTGGAATGAGAAGTGGCAAATCACTCAGTATATGGAGAGTTTCTAATGCTGATGGCCAAACTGGCCAATCTCCCTCCCACTTTGTAAAGCAGACCAAGCTGCCTTTACTATTATCATCACATGCATGGTAAGTATGAGGAAAGTAGGCTTTGCGGGACTGCCAGAGTTGTCCTAGGTGTTCTCTCCACCCAGTCAGCAGCCTAGCTGCTCTGCTCTGTCCCATGTGCTGGACATTGCGCTGGGAGCTCCATGTACAACCAGAGAGCTGCCTATCTTCTGCATGTTGAGCACATACCATGCCAGTTTGCCTAGCCCATAGAAAAGGCTGGGTGTGGTGGCTCACGCCTGTAATCCCAGCACTTTGGGAGGCTGAGGCAGGTGGATTACCTGAGTTTAGGAGTTTGAGGCCAGCGTGGCCAACATGGTAAAACTTCGTCTCTACTAAAAATATAAAAATTAGCTGGGTATGGCAGCGCATGCCTGTAATCCTAGGAATCTGAGGCAGGAGAATCCCTTGAACCCAGGAGGTGGAGGTTGTAGTAAGCAGTGATCGTGTCACTGCACTACAGCCTGGGTGACAGAGTGAGACTCCATCTCAAATAAACAAACAAAACTGAAAAGGCTTAATACAAGTGTGTTGGATGGCAGAGCTAAGTGCTTTGAGGCAAAGATGCCTCTTGGGGAGCTCTTGGGCTCTGTAAGTAGCTGTTGGAGAGATCTTCCCAGAACTGGCTCCCCTAGTAGCCTCGGGCTTTGATTCACAGGTCACAGTTGCTATATACTCAGGTCTTTTCAGGAACATGTCTGGGTCCAGGTAGGTCTGTGCAGAAGCTATAATCCAGCTTTAGTCCTAAAAATGCTAATTACCTTTATGTGGCATGCCATATTGAATCAGTTAGAGATTCCTACAAGTATCCTCAGATTCTGATTCAGAAGGGGTGTATGAGGACATCTGCATGTCAAATCTCCCAGGGAATGCTGGGCCAGCCAGGCCAGGGACCCCTAGAAGCTCCACCCCATGTAGGAGCACAGCCGCCTAGTAGAGTGGTTACAACTGTGGGCTCTGGTGCTGATGGCTGGGGTTTATATTCTGGGTCCTGCACTTTCAGTAACTCTGGCACCTTGGCTTGTTACTTAGACATCCTGTGCCTCAGTTTCCCCATCTTTAAAATGGAGATAATAGTGGTGGTGGAATCAGGATGCTGTGACAAGGATTAAATGAGTTGCTGCACCAGAATCTCAGCTTATACCAAGCATCCCACAAAGCAGGGTGGATGGGTGGAGTGTCTAGTTTTTGGCTATCTTTTGTGAGTTCCTTGAGTGTTGGTTCTAATGAAGCCAGAGCCTTGGCCCCGCTTGCAGGGGGAAGGAAGGAGCCTTTCTCAAACTCCCCTCCAAGACATAGATCCTTTCCCCCTGAGAGCCCACAATTCAGTGGAGACAACATAAGCCAGACATACACACAAGAGGGATTTTTTTCCAAAACACAATGAGTGCAAAAGACGGTTTCTATGGTTACTACACACACCTTAAAAAAAAGGAGAGATGTATGTGTGTGCTTAACACAAGACAGAACCCAAAGACAACTTTGAGATTGCTTGCAGTAGACAGGCAGGCAGAGGGAGGGTGGGGAGAGGGACAGGCTGCCCACCACATGTCCTTGGCATGGCCTTGACCTACAGCCACTTCTGTGGCTGAACCAGGAAGCAAGAAGCCTCCAGTGGTTGTTGGCCACACAGTGCCAAGGGCCAGTCCCTTCTAGGCCAAACCAGAGACAGGGATGTGATTCTCCAGTTAATTTTAGTCAGATATGAAGTCTCAGTCCTGCTTCAGGGGTAGGGAAAGAGATCAGTATCTTTGTGGCCTGCAACCGTCACACATTTCCTAAAAATGTATGTTCACTGCTTTGCTCTTCAGCTTAAGTGACCAAATGAAGATTCCTTTTCCCTGGAATCACTCTATGACTGTCAGGGCTTTCAGGGAGTGAGAAGCTCACTCGAGGATGCTACGTATTTGTGAATTTATCTTCTCTTTAAGGTACAGGTCCCAGTTCTGCCCTGGGCAATTTTCCTGTATTGTCTTGAGTCTGGAGCTTTCAACTTGGGTGCGTCTCAGAAATCTTATTGATTTCTGCTTCTCTGCCCTCTAAAGGAGATAATTTTACTCCTAAACGAGTTGAATTATCTTCTGAGGATGGGCCTAAATTCTTGCTAAATATACCTGAATTAACTCTGTCACTGTCTAAATGTTTGTGTGTCCCCATAAATTCCTATGTTGAAATCCTAACCCCTCAGGTGATGGTATTGGAGGTGGGGCTTTGGGGAGGTAAAGAGGTCATGAGAGTGGAGTCCTCATGAATGTGATTAGTGTCCTTATCAAAGAGGCTCAGAGCTCACTTTTGCCTCTTCTGCCATGTGAGGACACAGTGAGAAGACAGCTGACTACCAACCAGGAAGAGGACCCCCACCTTTATCTCTGACTCCTCAGCTTCTAGAACTGTGAGAAACAAATGTTTGTTGCTGAAGTCACTCAGCTTATGATATTTTTGTGATAGGAGCCCGACTGACTAAGACAAAGTCCTTCAGAGGAGATCTTGGGAGAGTTGCATATCAACGTCTTTTCTATTTCCACTCCCTCCATTTCCTATTTTCTGCAAATTGCACACCCACTAATTCACTGGGTATCTAAGTTGCTTAATAGATAAGCTGGAGATGTGTGGCTCTCCATCAGATCCATAAAGAGTAGTGGCGGTGTAGACACGGCTCTGTGAATTCAAAGATGCTGGCATCTTTCAGGATGCCTGGACACTCCATGAGAACAGCTGTGATCTCACCTCCTGAGGTGCCCGCCTCCTTTTACACTGTCTCATTATATTCTGAACAGCCCTGTGAGGTTGGCAGCATGGTCACCATCCCTACTTTGCAGATGGGGAAGTGGAGGCTCAGAGGGGGTGTGCAACTGGGCCGAGGCTGCAGTGCCAGTGAGTGATGGAGAGCCACACTGCACCCAGCCTGTCAGTCTCCGTGAGCCCTAACCTCTAGGGCTCTTATCTTTCTGGCTCTACACAGAGATCATGACCATCTATGGGCTCAATCTGAGTGCGCTCAATATGGATCTCTGCCACTGATACCAAAGACAGTAGATCTCAACCCTAGCTGCTCATATAAACCATCTGGGGAGCTTTAAAAATTTCCGGTGTCCTGGACTGTTCAGCAAACCATTTAACTCAGAGTCTCTGGGAGGGGGAATCAGGGATAGATGATTTTTAAAGCTCTCCAGGTGATTTCAGCAAGATTAAGAAACACACCTCTGGGCTGAATCAGCAAGAATCCGAGGCTTTCTGTAGGGGGCTGTCCTTACATTTTAGTAAGCTGATTTGATTTCTGCTTGATTGATTACCCTTATAGGTAAACTGGATACTGCCCTTTTGCCATCGGAAGGAAGTGTGTCTTGAAGCATTCCCGGTTTTACCATCGAAAGCCAGCCAGAGTGCTTACTGGACCACAATCAGAGATCGTTCAATCAATACTTGCTGTGCCAAAGCCCAAAGAATTATTTCTGGTAATATTCTCCAATCTGTGGCCAGATGGTGCCAAATGATGTTGACCCCACAGCTGTACTTGGTTCTCAAGGACGGTGGCCCCGTGGTCAAATCTGCTTTAAAACTGCCATGGTTCCACTCTCCAGTGGCATGAAAGCAGGAGCTGAGGGTCCTCTCAGAACTGGAAGAGTGGGCAGTGATGGCAGATCCTTCTCTTGGGACCCATGTAATATGCTTGAGTGCCTTGTATAGCTGCCATACCTGTGCCTACAGGATAAGAGGCATGTGAATTCTTATTTATATAAGGTAAAAAAAAAAAAAAAAGAAAGAAAGAAAAAAGCTGAGATATTGAAGGAGCCAAGATCCCCAGGGCAATAAGCCAGCTAGCACATCTACCCTACTGTGATCTGAAAACCCAGCCTCTGAGGTAGGCAAGGCCTAATGTATGCCAGTCTGATTTGGTTGAGTTCTTTTTGGTTAAAAAGATTGTGATGACAAAAATTAGAAGAAAAAAATACATAAACTCTCTATCCTCCCAGGCTTTACCCAAAACCGGTGGCCTCCTTATATACTAACACTTCCACTTCCTGCTTTTTAAACTCACTGCTTTGCCACCCTGCTACACAGGCCTCAGTAAACACAAGTTGTTCGACCATCCATTAAGACTGCATTCATTTCTTCACTGTTATTTTTCAATGAACATTTTCTGCATGTGATTTTTTTTTCTGGACTGTTTGTTTAACATAAAGTTACAGAACTAGAATTACTGAGTAGGAACTTTTAAATGACTCTATTACTAAATTGCTTTCCAAAAAAGTTATACTGATATATGTTGCCATCAATAGTAGATACCTGCCAGATCCCATAAAACTTCACCAGGGTTTTTTGTATTTTGTAAGTACAAAACACAGCTTACTGTTAAAAACCAGTAAGCTGTTGTTTTGTTTCTTGGGGGGTTTTTTGGTGGCTTAAAATACAAAATGATAACATGGTGGTGTTGTTATATGGGCTTCTTTGATTTCTAGCAATTTCCATTCCTTTATTGATTCATGCGTTCAATGAGGATGTGTTTATCGAATGCTTATTCTGTGCCAGACACCATTCTAGGCACTAGGACACAGTAAGCAAAACATCAAAATCCTAACCCATGAAGAAGTTACCTAATATGTATATTTTTTCTGTACTCTAGCAGCCACATGGCTTGATAAGAGTAGGGGCAGGGCACTCAGGCAATTTCCATGCACACATTTAATTCATACAGCTTAGTGCTGCAGAGACTTCACAAATCCCCTTTTTCAGGTGATGAAGTGCGGGCTTGCCTTGCCTGACGTCCCTCACTGGACCCAGAACCCTCGGACCCCAGTCCCTGACCATTCGGCACTCTCGATCCTCCCTGCATAGAGGAAAGTCAGGCAGAGCACGAGGAAGACTGGGCTGTGAGGGGCACCATACAACCCTGTCAATCTCCAGAAGGCCACAACTATGCCTTCGCAGAAACAAACTTTCCTCCAGATAAAAGCTAAATAGTGAAAGCTATCTGTTTCCAGGGCCACTAAGGGCTAGCTTGCTAGGGTAGCCAATTCTGTCCTGCCTGGATGCAAGGTGGAGGATTCTTGATCTCCTGGCCTAAGTGGACCACCTATTCCAGTGTCTAATTCTGAACCTGCCAATTCTATAGCTGTGCTTTCTCTTGAGAAATAGAGTCTCAAAAACAACAAGAATATTTTCCATAACTATGGTTAAGCATTACAGCCCATAGGATGTGTCCTGCCAAATGCCCTCACATCTGTGCTTGGAGTGGGTGTGGGAGCAAGAGGCTCCCCCTGTGGTGTTGCTTGCCTGAGAGGCTATGAGTTCAAATCACAGTAGGGCAGATGTGCTAGCTGGTTTATTGCCCTGGGGATCTAGCTCCTTCAATATCTCTTGTGGTCTTTTTTTTAAATGTTAGCCTTATACAAGAATTCACACAGCTCTTTTTCAAAACCTAGAAAATAAATACAAACAAAAAAAGGAGGCCAGGTGTAGTGGCTCACACCTGTAATCCCAGCACTTTGGTAGGCCTAGGCCAGCAGATCACCAGGTCAAGAGATCGAGACCATCCTGCCCAACATGGTGAAACCCCATCTCTACTAAAAATACCAAAATTAGCTGGGCATGGTGGCACGCTCTTGCAGTCCCAGCTACTTGGGAGGCTGATGCAGGAGAATTGCTTGAACCCTGGAGGCGGAGGTTTCAGTGAGCGGAGATTGCACCACTGCATTCCAGCCTGGCAATAGAGCGAGACTCTGTCTCACAAAACAAAAAGTGTAAATAAAACACTCAGAGATGGCTACTGTGGACATTTGCTGTACCTCTTTAAAGGTATTGTGTATGCATGTATGTATGTAGGACAAGAAATAGTGCTGTGGTCTGAAAGTGTACCTCCAAGATTCACACCTTGAAACGTAATGCCAATAGGTGAAGAAGCCAGGAGAGCAGAGCCCTTACGATTCATCACTTTCCAAAAGATGTGTGAGGGAGCTAGATGTTCATGCTTTCCACCATGTGAGGATGCAGCAAGAGGCACCATCTATGAAGCAGAGATAGCCTTCATAGAACTGAATATGCCGGCACTCTCATCTTGGACTTCTCAAGCTCCAGAACTATGAGCAATACATTTCTATGGTTTATACATGCCCCAGTCTGAGGTATTTTGTCATAGCAGCTCAAATGGGCTAAGACAGATGGCTAGCTAGCTAGATATGCAAAATGGGACAATTGCATTGCATACTTTTTGTAATATACTTCTTTTCTGCTCAGAATTCTACAGTGATCATCTTTCCATGTTCTTGAATATTTTTCTACAATGTTTTCATGGGTGCATGGTATCTGTGGAATGGAAAACTAGCATATTCATCCAGGTCACTTCACCAACACTTATTAAGGAAAGTATATCTGACAGCTTTATCCAAAAAGAAAGATTGATTTCGATCAAGAGCCCTTTAATTTTGTTCCCAATTTTCATGGGACCAAAAAAAATGCTGATGATGGTTACTGACGAGTAAATTTGTTTTTTGAAGGGTCTAATTTTCATACACAGTGGATTTGCCATGGAAACACTGCAGATGTGCACAAGAGCCTTCTTGGATCTAGAAAAGGGAGGAACTTTGAAAATGCCTCACACTGCTTAGGTACTAGTGAGTTTACTAGTGGGGGGATATCATGTTGTCACCACAGACAAAAGATGCTTCTTCCTTACTAATCTTTTTGAGTAAACCAGTGCCTTGGACTGATGCCCTTTTTCCTTGAGGAAACAGTGTCTCTTGATAAGAAAAAAAAAAAAATCTTTTCTTTTCTGTCTTTCTGCAAAGAACATGACACTCCAACATTGCTACAAAGTATTTGTGTTTTGTTTCAATCTTTCTCCAAATGCAAGTATAGATGGAACATAAATTTGGAATGAAAAGTAAACTTTGGACTTCTTTTGAAAATATCTTTAAAAAACAAGAGTTTTTCAACAATGAAAGTATTGATAAAATCACACTCTCAATCACCTCACTCATGTTTCCTGTTTTGGTTAACACATTTGAATTGACTTCGGCCTTCCTACTGCCGCTCTTCCACCTGCAACTCTGGACTGAGTGCCATGCATTGTCTGGGAACTCAGAGCCTGGAACTTCCGGCAGAGTCTGGAGTTGTTACCTGTTGATGGGTACGAACCATCTCCAACAGTTCTTATGAGGAGCTGCCTAGCAGAGAATTCAGTATAGACCTGAGCCAGTTGTCATACAGACAACTGCGCTACTTATTCCTCTGGGCCACTGGTTATTACCCCTGGTTGTTCATTAATCATCAGGGGAATTTTTGAAAAGTATGGGAGCCTGTCCACTTCCAGGGATTTGGCTCTAATGGGTCCTCAGTGAGCCAGGACATTGGTTTGGATTTCACTGGTTTAGTTTCCCTCTTCAAGACTTTTGCTCTGGAACATGCTGCATTTTCCCAGGCCCAGGGCAAAGAAGAATGTCCTCCATGGATGGTTGATCAGAATTTAAGGGATTGCTTGTTATGCTGCTTTACTTCCTGACTGTTCACCTAGTCTTTTTTTTTTTTTTAATGTAACACGTGAAAAGTTTATCTCTCTCAAAAAATAGATACAATAGTGTTAATGATAATAGCAGTTGTGGCTCATGGAGGTGGTTCCATTGGCAAGCCCTGGTTCCCTTCAGTCAAGGCTCACAAGCTGGTAAAGCTGGACTTCCATTTTCCAGTAGATACAGGAGCTTTGTGAGCTAGAATCACAATGGCAGAAACTACTTTCATCAAGCTTAAAGACACACTCAGTTTTTCTCCTGCCTCTGCATGGTCTTTAATAGCTTTTTTATCTTGATAGAAACAATATATTTCTGTAATACATTCATTCAAAGCTACTGCGTATCCTCTTTGGAAGTGAACAGAGACTACATTGCAAATAAATATATTTGTCCCAAATTGACATAAATAACATAACAATGTTTATGTATCATTGGATTTCTCAAGGCAAAAAGGGGAAATCTATTTGATGTGATTGAGTTTCTAAAAATGGTCACCGTCCATTCATTCTCTCCTCTATGCACTTGCCACTAGCCACTGAGAGGTGGAATCTACCCCATGCCCACTCTGCCTCTGGCCCTGAGCCTGGACTGGCTCTGGAACTGCCCTGCTGGCGAAAATCCTATAGAATTACATTCTGGGACTTTTAAGCCAAGGCCTTTAAGTGAACTGGCAGCTTCTGCTTTCTTCCTTCCCTTGGGCCCCAGCCTCCATAAGAAGCCTGGGCCACATACAGAGGCATGTGAAAGAGAACCTGGGCACCATGGTGACAGCCCCAGCATGAGTTGGGGTCCCAGCCAGCAGGTAGCACCTACCATCAGCCACATCAAGGGGGACTTCTTGGAGGCTCCAGCCCAGTTGAGCCCCAAATGACTGTAGCCCCCGCCAATGTCACATAAAAAAGGAAACCTGCCAAGGAGTCAACCCACAGAAATAATAAAATGACTGTTGTTTTTAACCACTACATTTGGGGATGGTGGCAATAGATTAAAAGCAACAATGACAATAAAACACTTGGTGCTGTGGCTCACTCCAGGTTATAGCAATTGTATGAATCAGGGTTCTCCAGAGAAAGAGAACTAATAGAATGGAGAGAGAGTGAGAGAGCACCTAAAAGCTGCAGGGCAGGCTGACAGGCTGGAACTTCTGGCAGGAGTTAATGTTGCAGTCTTGGATCCTAAATCTAGAAATCTTGGGCAGGATTTCTGTGTCGTAGGCTGGAGGAGAATTCTCACTTCCTTGGAGGACCTCAGTCTTTTCTCTGCAGACCTTTGACTGATGGAATGAGGCCCACCCATGTTAGAGGGGTAATCTGCTCTCCTTTACTCGAAGTCTGTTGATCTCAATATTAATGACATCTAAAAAATGCCTTCACAGAAGCATGGAGACTGGCGTTTGACCAAACAGGGTACCATGGCCTAGCCAAGCTGACACATAAAGTTAGCCACCGCAGCAATGAACCCTGGGAGTTGCCCTGGCTTTCAGGCCTGCATATGGGGCCGTCACTCCTCGGCTACTGCTGGAGACAATAAATGAACTGGACATGCCCAGGGCCAGCCACGAGCCAGGTGCCATGGGACAGCTTAGCTTCAATCCCTCCAGTAGAGGAAAGATAACCACAGTCAGCACCATATCCACTTCCCTCTGGATGAGTTCAGCCCTGAAAAGAGCAGGGGGGTTCCTGGCTTCTACACCAGAGATGTAAGGAAACCCGGATTCTGAACTCCTCCCTCAAAGTGAGGAAAGTGAGGGCCAGGTGAGACTCAAGTCGGCCACTCATAACCAAATGGTGCTTTGTAACAAATGGCCATCTCCACCATTCCCAGGTTGCTAGTGATACCGAGCTGCTTCTAGAAAGGGATGCCCAATTTAGTTTTATGTGGAATTTAGTTTCAAGGACAACTAAATAAAAAAGAACAACTCTGTACAGGGTTTGTAAAAATAGACAGCTGATGGACTGCCCTCTCCTCTGGCCTGGTCCTCTTCCAGCACCTTGACTCCCTCTCATCAGACTGGTCTTTTCAAAGCACGAATCTGATCATACAATTTCCTTGTTGAAAATCCTTTCTTGGCTCCTTGTCACTCATGGCAGTTTCTCAAAATATGATGTGTGACACATCAGGTAGCTTTAGGTGGCATACAAGTGGATGCTGTTTATTTTAATAGTGACATTTTGGTTTTTGTGGTCATCTTCTATTTAGGACAAGTTAACATGGTTTTTCATTTTTGGTAGTGGAATTAAATGGATTTACTTCTCTGCTGGTCTGAAGAACAGTGTTAGGTTAACAGCGATTTGGATGGTGGGAAATGGCAGAGTCACAGAGATGGACTCAGACATGGGGAGTAGCATGGCCTGGGGGCCCTGCCAGGTCTGCCTGCTGCCTCCTCTCCTTTTGTCTCTCCACTGGAGGCCTCACCTTGATCTCCCATGTAGCAAAGAGCCAGCAATTCCCAGGACCACACCTCATGACATTGCTAATCCCACTGTCTGGGATGCTCTGTCCCCAGGCCGCACCGCATGGAAAATTCCTATTTATCTTTCACATCCCAGCTCAGGAGTCACCGCTTTCACAAGGCTTTCTCCAAATTGTTTCCTTCCATGGTCCCTGCAGCACAGACCTTCCCCTGTGTGTCTCCCACCAGGAATAGGGACTGTGCTGGGAATGTCCTCAGAAGCTTGGATGCTTCTGCAGGCTTCAGGATGGGAGGAAAAGACCCTGTCACACTGCTAGATGGGCACTGTCAGCTGATGTCTGAGGGCAGGGTATAAAAGAAAAGGCAGCTACCTGCTTTTTGCCATAAGTGCCAGGGCAGCTGGGTGCTGTCTGAAGGGGTCCTTTCCCAGGCCCAATTTCCCAAACACAGGGAGAACACCTCCCATTTTCCCCACTTCCCCCCGCTGCCCCCTAACTTCTATTTTCCAGAGAGTGAAGACAAGAAGAGGTCTGTGTGTGATATGTCAGGGCCCCTCTCCCAGCCCCGTGTTTCCCTCACAGCAGGGAAATCCTTCCTGTACAGCCCTCTCCAGAAGGGAACATGTCCCCCTGACTTCACCCAGAGCCAGATCAGTATCATTGTTTGCACAGAGAGAAACCCTCCTACTGTGATTGCCAGTGATAGCAGTATGGGTTGTGGAAAGCTGGGCAGGGGGGCAGGGGTGTGGTCTGGACTGGGACTCTGTCTGCTCCATGGCTTCTGTCCTGGTGGAGCGAGGGTGCCACAAGCTGTAGAGCACAGGGCTATAGTCGCCTTACATGAAAGTGGGAGGCAGACAGGGTTCTGGGAGTTTCCAGTTTCTGCGCCTTGACACCTGACAGACAGCTGGTCTCAAAGCTCAGTTCTACCACTTAGGACTACAGTAGCTGGGCTCTGGCCCTTGGCTGCCTGTCTGTGAAGTGGGTGTCTGGATGGACACTGGTAACCTCTCCACATGTGTGGCTTTGCTTTCTTTTTGACTCTGCCCTTCCTTTGCTGCAGGGAGTAGGACTGTCAGCCAAGGGTGAGCCCATCACCTGACTGGCCAGAGAATCTATGCCCCCAGCCACAGTGATTAGTCCTGAAGTGGCCCAATTACAGTCCTCTTTGGGCAACTGGTGTGAGCCCTGAGAGAGAGATCTCTTACTCTGAACTCGAGAGTGTAAGGATGAGGCAAGAAATAAATCTAGAGAATAAAGTGAGCACAGGAGAAAGTACAGCTGAGGAGAGTGGGGAGGACAGAGGAAGGAAGGAGGGATCTGAACCCAGGAACATAGCCCCCTAGACTGAGCAGCCCCTCCACTTGGAGTGAGAAATCTTACTTACTTTGGGGCTTATGGAATCAGTGGATGGGAAAGAGAGAATTTAATTAGATGCTTGGGCCAGAGTAGCCCAAGAAAGAATGGTCCCCAATGCCACCATCTCCCAGTCTGCCTGGAAAGACAGGCAGGGGCAAGTGGTTCTGGGTCACTGTTCAGAGTCTCAAAGAAAGCCTGCCTCTCCACTGAGGGGTCACCCTGGTGCCATTGAATTATGGCTGGGCATGGAGAGTCCCCAGGGCTGTGGTTAGGGTGCTATCGATGCCTTCTGACACCTGTAGAGGCTGATGGAGGAAGCCAGGCATGCTGTGAAAGAGGGCATGGATATTCTAGTACTTTCTACAGAGAAGCTGTTTTCACTTGTAGGCTGCCAAGCTGGGACTGAGCTGCTCTGTCAAGTGGAGAGAGGCCCTCCTCCAAGCTGCTGGAGGAAAGACCATTCAGACCTTGGTTCTAAGCTGGTTCTGGACCTGTGGGAGTTCTCTAACTTCCTGTAGCCTCAGCCCCTCCAGAAGTGCTCCTTTCTGGCACATGGGAGAAAAATGGAAAAAGCATAGCTCCCTGCTCTCCTTTTTATTTTGCTCTACAGTTTAAAAATTAAGATATAAATCACATAGAATAAAATCTGTATGTAAAAAGCAAGTTTTATTTATGTATGGCCCCAGGCAACCATCACCCACATCAGGATCCAGAGCATTTCTGCTACCCAGAGGAGAGAGTCCTCTCCTGTCCCATCCAGTAAACCCCCCTCCTCAGGAGTAACCACTACTCTGATGTCTATCATCACAGGTTAATTTTACCTGTTCTTAAACATCATAGAAATGGAATCATACAGTACACATTCTTTTTGAGCAGTTTCTTTCATCCAGAATGTTTTTGAAATTCATCCAAGTTTGTGTGTCAGCAGTTTGTTCCTTTTCATTGCTGAGTAGTCTTCCGTTGTGTGTCTGCACAGTGACAGTCACATGTCTCATTGTGATGTGTATACACTCTGGGAAGTGCATCGTTAGGTACTTTTGCATTGTGTGAACATCGTAGAATGTACTCGCACAATTCACGATAGGTGGTGCAGCCTACTACACACCCAGGCTGTATGGCCTCTTGCTTTTAGGCTACAAACATTTGCAGCATGTTATTATACTGAATACTGTAGGCAATTGTAACCCAATGGTAAGAATGCCTAAAAGTAAAAAAAGGTATGGTAAAAATACGGTATAAAAGATAAGAATGGTATGCCTGTATAGGGCACTTCCATGAATGGAGCTTGCAGGACTGGAAGTTGCTCTGGGTGAGTCAGTGAGTGAGTGGTGAGTGAATGTGAAGGCGCAGGATGTTATTGTAGCCTTCATAAACAGTGTGCACTGGGGTGATAGGAATTTTTCATTCCATTATAATTTCATGGGACCATGATTATGTAGTGCATGACTGTATGACATTTGGATGGTGTCTAGATAAACATTTAATAGGAATTTGGGTTGTGTCTTGTTTTAGCTTTTACAAATAAAGCTTATGAGCATTTTGATGGATATTTGCACATACTCCTCCTTGATAAAAACCTGGAGTAGAATTCCTGAGTGATCCAAGAGGTGAATGTTTAATTTTGCTAGAAAATCCCAAACATTTGTCCAATGTTACTGGATCATTTTGCATTTCTACCAGCAGTGAGAGCTCCACTTGCTCTGTTTACTTTTCAACATTTGGTATAGTCAATCTCTTTAGACACTTAAGTGGGTGTGCTATGGTATCTTTTTGTGGTTTTAATGTGCATTTCCTTGACAAATAATGGTTTGAGAACATTTTCATGTGTTTATTGGCCATTTAAATATCCTCTTTTTTGAAGCACTTGGTCAGTCAAGTCTTTTGCTTATTAAAATATTTTTTCTTGCCAGAATAAATTGGGATGTTTGTAACTTTTCTACAGGCAGCAATATGGAAATTACTAGGAGTTATACTTTTATTACTTTTGATTATTTGCATTAAGACCATAAGTTTTCAAGTGAGTGGTACAAAAGATAAGAAACAAAATTGTGTTAAAAAAAATCCTTGAGGCAATCAAGTATCAAAAATGACACTAATTTATTCTATTATGATGAGAAGAAATAAGATATAGTTTAAGCCTGATCTGAGATAAGAATTTTAATTCTTTAACCAGGCAAAAGATCAAAAGTTAATCCAAATAATTTTCAGATACAGAATACCATTTGTGCTGGTTTTTTTTTTTTTTTTTTTTTGAGACAGAGTCTTGCTCTGTCACCCAGGATGGAGTGCAGTGGTGTGACCTCGGCTCACTGCAGCCTCTGCCTCCAGGGTTCAAGCAATTCTCCTGCCTCGGCCTCCTGAGTAGCTGGGGTTACAAGTGCCTACCACCACGTCTGGCTAATTTTTGTAGTTTTAGAAGAGACAAGGTTACTTCATGTTGGTCAGGCTGGCCTCAAACTCCTGACCTTAAGTGATCTGCCCGTCTCCGCCTCCTAAAGTGCTGGGATTACAGGCATTAGCCACCATGCCCCGCCCCATTTGTGCATTTTTAAGGTCCATTATAGTAGCTACATTTGCAGAAAATGAAGAAAATTCTGAGATATAATATCAAATGGAATTTGGCAAGCAGCTCGTAATACCACTTTTATTTCGCATGCGTTAGACACCTACAGTGCACGTGAGGATCACTGTTAGGTGTCCGCTAAAGACAGCACCATCAGCAAGCATGCATTGAATCCCAAAGTACCTTCTCCATGGGGCTTCTTGAGTCTTCTTTGCAGCTGTTTTTCTTTTTCCTTATTTGTTGGTGTGCTGCTAGAAACCAGGTTAAATTGAATTTTGTCTTCACTATACTTTAATATTCTTTTTCTGAGCTGGCATCACTAGACTATCCAGTTGTCTTGACTGCAGGACTCTACATGAATTGGTCCTTCCCTTAATCTGCCTAATTCACACAGTCTTTCAGCCACAGGAGCACATCTCGCAGGATGAGAAGTGTCTTTCCTGGTAGCTGCAATCTGCTTGAACTTAAGACATTTGCTGCCTGGTAAAGATATTGTGAGCTTGCTGAATCACTGCTGTGTTGCTCATAGCTGCATCCGAACTTTAAAAATTGCTTAGTCTCGGATCATGTCTCTCCTTGGTGGAGGCAGGTCAATAGCACACTTGGTATGATGGTTCATTTTAAGAGTCATATATGGGCAAACATTATTCCAGATGTTTCTGTAGGTGTTTTGGATGAGATTTTTACATTTAAATGGATGGGCTTTGAGTAAAGCAGATCACCCTCCATAATGAGGATTGGCCTCATCCAATCAGTCGAAAGACTAAATAAATAAAAAACTAAGCAAGAAGAGATTCTGCAGCCTATGGCCTTCAGACTTGAATTGCAACATTGACTCTTCCTGGGTCTCCAGGCTGCCTTCATAATCATGTGAGCCAATTCTTTAAAATAACTTTCTTCATATACCTATATATACAGTCACAAATTGCATAACAGCATTTTGGTCAATAATGGATCACATATATGATGGTGGTCTCATGAGATTATAATTGAGTTAAAGAATTCCTATCACCTAGTGATTTCGTAGCCATCATGACATCCCAGCACAACATATTACTCAACAAGGCCGTGGTTGAGATGGCAAACAATGGTTCCTGAGAAACTTGACTAATGAGGAGCTGTTTGAACTGGAACCAGAACCCATAGCTGAAGAAGAAGTAAGAGAAAAGAAAATGCAGAAAAGAAGAACCCCCAAGAATATTCACAGTGAAGCATTTGGCAGAAGCTTTTGCTGACCTGAACTTTTTCTTTTTAAAAAGTTTGAAAAAGTGACCCCCGACACTGAAAGGTTTTTATGAACAGAGAGGAATGTTCATGATGCATTATCTGCTTACAAACAAGTCTATGGTGAGAAAAGAACCAAGCAAGCTGCTATGGACATACTTCTAAAAAGAGAGACACCGCCTCAAGAAGAGCCTCAGTCAGGTCTTTCAGGCAGTGTTCCAGAAAAAGGCATTTTTATCATAGGAGATGACAGCTCTGTGCACGTTTTTGTCCTGAAGACCCTCCAGTGGGATGAGATGTGGAGGTGGAAGATACTGATATTAATGACCCTGACCCTGTGTAGGCGTATGCTAATGCGTGTTTGTGTCTTAGTTTTCAACAAAAAAGTTTAAAAATTAAAAAGAAAAACATTTTTAAATAGAAAAATAAAGCTTGTAGAATAGGGATATAGAGAAAGAAAATATTTTTGTGTTTTTGTTTTAAGCTAAGTGTTATTACAAAAGATTCAAAATGTTAAAAAGAAGTTTAAAGTATATGAAGCAAAAAAGTTACAGTAAGTTAAGGCTACTTTATTATTTAAAAAATATTTTTAGAAATTTAGTGTAGCCTAAGTTCACAGTGTAATGCCCTAGGCCTTCACATTCACTCACTGAAGTGCACTATACAATTGTGCAATTTTTGCTTTTTTATACTGTCTTGTTACTGTACCTTTTCTATGTTTAGATATGTTTACATAGACATATAAACCTACCATTGTGTTATAATTGCCAGTTCAGTTCAGTAGCATGCTGTACAGGTTTGTAGCGTAGGAGCAACAGGCTATACTACATAGTCCAGGTGTGTGGTGGTCTATGCCATTTGGGTGTGTACAAATACAGCCTATGATGTTTGCACAACAATGAAACTGCCTAAGGACACATTTCTCAGAATGTATCCGTGGTGTTAAGCAACACATGACTGTATATAGACACATCTTTTGATTCTGTCTCTCTGGAGAACCGTGACTAGTATACTTGACAAAAATGTCAGGGTAAGCCTGGAGTCTTGCTGGTTGTTCTGTCTGTCATGTTAAAAGAAAAACAAAACTATTAACTGGCTTTCATTTTTAAAAATTCCCAGGCCCCAAATTCTATATCCCCCTGGAATTAGCATGGCTTCAGGAACATCTTCCCTCTGCCTGTCAGGGACACTCTCCTCAGGCAGAGCGGCCCTTTCCAAAGCTGGAACAACTTCCGTCTCTACTTGCATGGCTTCCAAAAGTCTGCATCCTTTTGGGAATGCATTTTGAAAGAGAAGAATCAATTGATTTGGGGGCATGCAATCAAGACACTGGGTATCAATATGAAGGAGTTCTTCATATAATATATTATATATATAATATATTATATCTTCATATAATATATATAACATATCTTCATATAATATATATATATATATAATATAACATAAATTTGAGCCTCAGTTAGGTATGTGTATAGTAAAGAATTTCTTCCAGTTTGTGGCTGCCCTTTTCCCTTTATTAATGATGCCTTTTAATAAACATGAATTTAATTTTGATGAAGCTCCATTCACCTCTTTACAAATTTTATGCTTATTGTTTTTTTGTGTGTCTTAAAATATGTTTGCCTACCTCAACATCATGAAGACATTCTCCCACATTCTCTTCTGGAAGAACTATGCTATTATTTTTCAGACTTAGGTTTATGATGCATCTCAAGTTAATATTAGTGTTTGGTGTGAGGTAGGGAGTTAAGTTTTTTTTCCCATATGGATATGTAGTTGCTCCAGCAACATTTATCGAGAAGAACTTCCTTTTTCCTTTCTAACTCTCTGGCACCTTTGTCAAAAATCAACTGACTGTACGTATAGTCATTTTTACCTGACAAGTTTTTGGGTGAGTGGTAGCAGATATTTTGTCTGGAGCTATACTACCTGGACAAGAAGGCATCAGGGTCATCCTAAGGCCATCTGTATTTCCGATGAACTCGTCCTCATAGTGCAAAGGTATTTGGTTACTTCCATTTCCCAGTCACCTTTGTGAATTACTACTTTGAAGTTTTATGTTACCACAAAGCCTTGGTTTTTTGCTGTCAAATACCCAAGGTGCTTGACCCTTCCCTGCCAGTTTCCTTATCGGTAAAATGTATAATGGCAATAACTGATGCATGGGGCTGTTGCAAGATCAATGGGGTCACAAATGCAATGAGAACACTCACTATTGCCTGTTTCCTCCTCACCGCTGTGAGCTCCTTGAGAGCAGAGACTGTGTTTTATGAATCTCTGCATTTCAGTGCTTGAAAGGATACCTGGCATATGGCAAGTATTTATTAAATATATGGAGAATAAACAATATTCTTTTAGATGGCTTAGATAGAACCATTTGTATGGCAGCCTGCTGTTCTTTATTCCTACCAAATCCAGGGGACTTGTCTGTCTTCATCTTATTTGACACAGTTGACTGCTCCTTCCTGAAGCCCTTTATTCTCTTTGCTTCTAGAATATCGTACACTCTTTGCTCTCCTCCTGCTGTACTGAATGCTCTTTCTGAGTCTTCTTAGTCATGCCTGTTGCCTCTGCTCTAAAGGCTTTTCTGACCAGTGGTCATGTACCACCCCTTTTCTTCTCTATGCCACACTGGCTCTCATGGTGACCCCTTCTACTCTCATGGCTTTATGTTCTATTTGCTCGCAACCCCTGAATGTCTGTATCCATCCCAAGCCCACATTCATCTATGCCATGGCCTACTCTACTTAGACTCAACAAGCATTTACATCCAACGTTGTCCAAACAAAGCACCAGATCTTCCCACATGTGATTTTATTTCACCCTGTCTTGGGTTCTCAAGTTTCTCAAGACAAAATCTTCCAAGTCAGTCATTGTTCTCTTTATCCTCACTCTGCTCCTCTAGTCCTTTATCAGGTCCAGTCTGACTCTACCTCTAAAACCATTTCTAAATGTCTCAATTTCTTTCCTTTTAACTGGCTCTACTAAAGTTCAAGTCACCATCCTCTCTTTGCCGGCTACTGCAGTGGACTCTGGCCTGGTCTCTCAGGTTTCTTTCTTGAAGGATGTTCATACTACTACCTGTGTAAAACCCTGTCATAGAGCGAAGTCCAAGGTTGTTACTCTAGCCCAAAAAGTCTCATGGCAAGGGCATCTGCCTGCCTCCTTGACTTTATGGAAAAATGGTTTTATCTGTGGGGAAATCTGGATGATAAGAATGCAACATTCCTGACATCGTGGAGGCCCAGCCTTCTATCCAGAGTTATATAACATCTTGGAAGGTTACAAAGGCATTAAGTCAAGTCCAGGTTTGTCAGTTTCTCCAAAAGATGTCAATGAAAACTGCATATGTCTTGCAGCTGAGCATCTAAAGTATCAATTACCTGAAAAATACTGATAAGTGAAATCCACTGGTGGCTATAAAAGTGATTATAAAGCAGTATCACACTGAGTTAAGGAAAGCTTATGGGCGTTCTGGCCAGACTGGCTTAGGTTCAAATCCTTACTGTGCCCTGTCCTAGTGAGTCCCAGGGAATGTTAGCTGCTGAAGCTCTCTGGGCTTTATCCATAACAAGGGGTGATTTTGCCCTTAGATGTTTGCCAGAAGATTCTCTGACAGAGTGTCCTTTTCAGCAAGGGACAGAAATGCAGTAGGTGGGGTCTCTTTCTCTGCTCCTAGAGATGCAAAGGAACAGGAGCTGATGAGAGGTTCTAGAAGCCTAGGCTAGCTGATGTCTTACCCTTTCTACCCTACCTCACCATTATATGGTTCATTCTGGAAAAGGCTCTGCAGAAGTACAAGATTTTCTGGCCAACAGGCAGATTGCTGCTTTAGATGGGTGTGTCCTGGCAAGACCACCTTAATGACCTGTCCTGGCACTTTTAGGGTGTCAAGAACAGCCCTTAAATCTAGGCCCTTTCACAGATCAGAAGAGCCTGAGCATGATGTAGAAATTCTTCTCTAGTGAGAACAAGATCTACAGGGTGAAAAAATAGCCATCTTAAAAGTTAAGAAACACAAGAACAGAAAAGAAGTGTACCTTATAGATTATTTTTAAATGACCAAATTGAAGACCATGGGATTTCTTTTTTTTTTTTTTTTTTAACAAACAACCTGGGAGACAGTGGTTAGTTTTGACATTGACATAGTTGTAGGGAACTCTAGTTTGTGGTCACCCAAGGTACTTTCCATGCACATGAATCATCAGATGCACTTAACTTGGGCAGAGCTCAATTTCAGATTATTTAAACCAAAGTAGAAAGCCCCATGTCGGGTTAACTGGCAGGCACATACAATAGACAGCCCAGATCTGGGAAGAAAAAAAAGTGTGTGAAAACAAATATATTCTGGTGGTTTTTAACATACTTGTCTATTTCTCACAGTGATTTGCATAATGTTGCAGAGGTGTTGCCTGGCAAGCTCCAGATAAAGATGTAGATTTTGTGTGTACCTGTTCGCAGGCTAGATAGAGAGCAGTCATATGCAAGTAAAATCTTGGTACCCTTCATTGCTTTACTTACTTTTTTGAGCAGGGTTATTGCTGTGTAAGTCACATAAAAAAATCCACACATTTAAAGTGTAGAATATGTTTTTGCATATGTATATATCCATGAAACAATCATAACAATCAATATAGTGAATATTTCTATCATTCTCAAAAGTTGCTTCATGTGTCTTTGTAATTATCCCTCCCAGGCCTCTCTTCTTCACTGTTAGTTTGTTTTATATCAGTAAAGGCTTTCATTTTCTATAGTTTTATTAAAATGGAATAAACAGAATATAGTCTTTCTGGTCTGGCTTCTTTTACTCAATATAGTTATTTTTGAGATTCATCCATGTTATGTTTATTATTATTTTTTCTTTTTTTCTCTTTTTTACTGAGTAATAGTTGATTGTATGAATATACCACAATTTATTTATCTATTCATTTGTTGATGAACATTTGAGTTGTTTCCAGTTTGGGGCTATTTACCAATAGAGGTACCATGAAGATTTATGTACAAGGCTCTGTATGGATATCTGCTTTCTTTTCTGAGAGGCTGGGACATGTGTTAGGTGCATGTTTAACTTTTTAAGAAACTCTAATCTGTTTTCCAAAGTGGTTGTTTGGTTTTACATTCCCAATAGCATTGTATGAGAATTTCAGTTCCTCCATATCCACACCAACATTTGATATGGTCTTCTCAATTTTAGCAATTCTAAAGTATGTGTAGTGGTATCACATGGTGGTTTTAATTTGCACTTCCCTAATGATGTTGACGTCTTTTCATGTACTTATTGCCATCCATAGATCTTTCAGGAAATGTCTGTTTAAATCCTTTGTCTATTTCATTTTTAATTGGGCTGTTTTCTTATCATTGAGTTTTAAGAATTCTTTATATATTCTGGATATAAGTGCATTATCAGATGTGTCCTTGGCAAAAATGTTCTCCTAATCTCTGCTTATTTTTGAATCTCTTCATAGTATCTCTCAAAGAATGGAAATTGTAAATTTTGATAAAGTCGAATTTATCAATTTATTTTTTACAGATTGTGTGTTTGGTGTCATACCTAAAAACTTTGTCTAACCCAAGGTCATGAAGATTTTATTTTATGTTTTCTTCTAAAGGTTTATAGTTTTCAATTTTACATTGAGATCTGCAATCCATTTGAATCACTTCTTTTTATATGATGCAAGTTTGTGCCCAATTTCATTGTTTCTGTTTGTTTCTGCATATAGGAAACTAATTTTTCCAGTACCGTTTGTTGAAAAGGCTATCCTTTCTTTGTTGAATTGCTTTTGCACTATTGTCAAAAATTTTGTTGTCCATATTTTTGAGTGTGTGTGTCTATTTCTGGACTCTATTTGGTTCATTGATCTTTTCCTCTATCTTGCTGCTAGTACTAGAATATTTTGATCACCTGTAGCTTTATAACAAATCTTGAAAGCAGATAGTTTTAGAACTCCAATTTTTTTCTTTTTCAAAGTTATATTGGCTCATTTGTTTTGTTTTTCACTTTCATATAAAGTTTAAATCTGCTTTTCAATTTCTACAAAAAGTCTGCTAGTAATTTGATCAACACTGCATTGGGAAGAACTCTCATTTTAGCAATACTGAGTCTTCTGACTGCTAAACAGAGTATATCTCTCTGATTATGTTTTGCAATTTTTAGTGTACAGGTCTTACACATATTTTGTCAGATTTACTCACAAGTCCTCCTTCCTTCCTTCCTTCCTTCCTTCCTTCCTTCCTTCCTTCCTTCCTTCCTTCCTTCCTTCCTCCCTCCCTCCCTCCCTCCCTCCTTCCTTTTATTTTTTTTTTGTCAGAATCTCAGTTTGTCCTC